TAGAACCTTCGGCAAACAACTTGACGCTAAAGAAATACTATCTATTATAATTGAACAATAGTATCTACTTAGGTGTAAGTTGGAGGTACTTTAATATAATTGATTAAGGTACCTATGTGATAGATAAGCTGTACATGTACGTATAAAATTGAATTTTTAAGTGATATAATAATTCCCAGTTAAAATTCTATTGCTATAATTACGTGGTATCGTTAGATCTACTAAAGTGATACAACAACTTTTTAACCGACTTAAAAATCAGGAGATAGTTGCAATCACATTTTTATGCCTCTACTGTAATTAAACGATGTGCCTGAGGATTTTTTAATGATTGAATGAGTGTCTCAAATGTCTTTAAGAATTTGAATCTAAGAAACATTTTCTATGGTTGAAACATATTAAGAACAAAATTTGAAATAACCACAAAAAATAATTTGTTGATATTAATTTTGATTTCACAATGTTATATTAATATTTATGTTATAGGATAAAACTTGAAAAATATATGTGTCAAAAACAAACAAACAATAATATAATCAAGTAAATTGAATGATAAATGTCGTCACTTTTTTGCTATATTATATTTTCGGAGTAAAGGCACAAAACAGACTGATATTATAATAAAACCAGTTTGTTTGAAGTCTCAATGATTATTATAACTCTAGTTGCACAATACATTTTGTCTGGATAGTGCGTGTACAGTTATTTGTCTAAAAGTATTATAATAAAATTTTAAAATTCGTACCATAATTACTGTCCTATTTTCAGATATTTGATTTTTGCTCTATATTAAAACTTCAAATAAATAGAACACAACGAAATTTCCGTAATCAGATTCTTGGCTGAGAAAACTTAATTTTATATTTTATGCATTTTCACTTCATTTTAAAACTTATTAGTAAATGAATCTAAAACCATCCACTATTAGAAAAGGTAGCTCGGTGGCGTAGTGGATAAGCGCCGCGGCCCGCGATCGTAGTCGTTAAGCAACTTTCGCAAGGGTCGGTCACGGGATGGGTGACCAAAAAATTATTATCTCGAGCTATTCCGTGCTTCGGAAGGCACGTTAAGCCGTTGGTCCCGGCTGCATTTGCAGTCGTTAATACCCTCCAATCCGCATTGGGCCAGCGTGGAGGGTCATGGCCCATCCTCCTTAACCATCCATAAGGAAGGCCTGAGCCCCTGCAGTGGGGACGTAAAAGGGCTGATGATTGTTTAATTTTACCATGTCTATCTGCATGTATGTTCTTTGTTTATATCAGAGAATATTCAAATATTTTGAGATCTAAGAAGAGAATATTTCCATTCAGGAATTCTTTTGTTACGACAAATTATTGTTATGGTCAAGTTGAAGTTAAATACTTGTTTCTGGATATGTTAAAAATTTTGAGACAACGGTGGATATAAAGTTTAAAGGAAAACGAATTACGAATACTAGTCGACCAACTTTGAAAATGGGAAGAAGTAAAAAGAAAAATTATAAGTTGAAATTTCATTCAATACAAATTCTTTAATAATTACTAAGATAGTTATATGTTTTGTTAAACTGGTAGGAAATATAAATCAGAGCTTACGGGACTCGACATGATTGTAGGTCGTCTTATTCTAATTATTTTGAGCGTTGTGCAAATTGATTGAAGAAGTGCTTTTAATGCATAAGCTGTTTAGGTAGATACATATCCTTACTTAATTTATAATTCACTAATTAAATTGTGTGTTAAAGTTCACATCAAGATTCGATTAGATTTCAATAAACCCTGTGAAACGGATCATCAGGATCGGTCCACTAGTGACGCAGGTATTACGAAACATACACACAAACATACACAAATTAAGAACCTCCTCTTTTTTGTAGTGTGTTAAAAATGTATCACAATCTATTGTATATAAAAAAAAAGATTTATGACCAAGAAAATCTATCTTTTGGCACTTAAATATCGATGAGTTCTTCAAATAACTTCGTATGAACTTGCGACACTTTAACGCTATTCTCTATAGCATAGAGCGGTGTCGTCACTTCACACGCCTTCATATTCCATAACATAAACGCCATTTTCACAACACTAGCTTTAATTACACTTTCTGCTCTATTACCGCAACTTAAAGTCTGTTTAAGTTTGTAAACATTACTTACTGTTATAAGTAGATGTTATTTAAGATTACACGACCAATTTGTCAGTTATTCTATTATTATGATGTCTTCACATGCTCAGATGTTAATTTAATTATAATGGATGTTTTGTTCTCGAGTGACTTGTTAAGAAAATGCAAACGTTCATTTCCCATCTAATTTTTAATATAAATTTCTGTCTCTGTTAATTGGAAGTGTTCAATGATAATAACATACGTGAATATAAAATAAATATATAGATTAAATACAATAACCTTTAAACAAACTAAACAAAACAATAAGAAAGGAATTAATCAGTGGACATTTAGATATTGACCAAATAATACATAAAGTTTCTTGAAACCGTTGAACCTTGAGTTGTCGGACACAGATAAAAATCTACACATTTTGTACATTTACACACAAGTAAATTAATCTTAATTATTATTTACTGATTAGTCAGACTTTATAACAAAGGAATTTAATGTTCAGAGCAAATTATTCATATGAAATCTTTATTACCTAGTATTAAGGCATTCTAGAATATAAAAAAAATAGGTAATAAAATAATGTTTATTATTCATAACCTTATACTTATATATTTTGTTTTTGTGTTTAAATTTATAATCATTGCAACCTCCATCACGCCAAAGTACTTTTACGTATTAAAAAAGAATATCTAAACCACTAGAAGACTTCAATTGATTGATTTTATTATTTTTAGTAAATAAAATTAATTCAAATAATGTACTTATTTTGACATATTTCTATTGAGAAAAGCGTTGTTATGTTTTAATTTTTATAATTGCCATTTAATATACCTAATGGTTCTATGAATTTGCTGTTTAGATTGCATGTACTTCTTCTAGTAAAATAAGGTACATCAACCAAGACATTGAAATAAATATTGGCCTATAATAATTTTCAATATTCGTCATCATCATCGTGAACCCTTTTACGTTCCCACTGCAGGGGCTCAGGCCTTCCTTATGGATGGTTAAGGAGGATGGGCCATGACCCTCCACACTGGCCTAATGCGAATTAACTACTACAAATGCAGCCGGGACCAACGGCTTAGCGTGCCTTCCGAAGCATGGAGTAGCTCGAGATAATTTTTTTTGGTCACTCATCCCGTGACTGACCTTTGCGAAAGTTGCTTAAGGACAACGATCGCGGGCCGCGGCGCTTATCCACTACGCCACCGAGGTACTCAATATGCGTATTATTTACAAGAAATTAACATTAATTAATTATTTTACTAATACTGTTCCGTCGAATGAGGTAAATATAGAAGTTGATCTAGTTGCAGTTATACAGCCTGTCGCAACAGCCACACCCACGCTACCTGACGATTAGGCTGCCTGCATACCTTATTACAAAAGGTCTAGTTTGCCGTGTTATTATTTATCAATATCAACTATTTTAGGTTCCGGGGTTTGAGTTCTTGTGACAACATAAAATTACAGTATTATACCAATGTTGGAATTCTCCCAATATTTCTGTAATATAGGACTAGGGATGGCGACTGGGTAAAAGAAAAAGAAATTCTATTTAGTCCATCAGTCAGATAATAGAGAAATATTAGATACGTATTTTTTTTACTTCAATTTAATAAGTAATAGCTTAGACTACAGTCATTAAAGTTGACGAGTGGGGGCTCGCTACGCCACGGTTTTGTAGAAAATGTACAAAAACGTGACGTCATGCTACATTTTAACTCAATGTATAAGTAGCCTTAATTTAATGATTACGAAAAAAATCCTGGCGAACCGGACGGACTAACAAACAAAAATTTGCCGTTATCCTTATTCGAATTCTATTGATTGATTCGATCAATTACACGTTGTAATATTGCAATTAGGTAAAATTATCAGTAACGAGATGAAATTAAAGTGAAAGTATGAGTTGCGTTATAATCACTAGTGAATAATGGGCTAAAAATATTAAATATTGATAAATTTTACCTTCACAATGTTATTTTGGTTTATCTCAAAGAAAAAACAGTTAAAATTTTACAGTCCTAGTTGCCTGAGATGGAATCCGAACACAAACTTTCGCGATACAGGTAACTCCTCCTGTAATTGACCTATTAAGTTACAGTAGTTTCTCTGCTAGATAATTAAAAAATCATCTGGTTAGAACAGATGTCTAAATAATCGTTACAGGTCTTGAATTGAAAAGTCCAAATTTTTTAAGAAACCGATGAAAATGTTAAAATGACAAACATTATGCAATTGACAACTAAATAATAAAATAAATATTATTATATTTCATAAATTTTGCATTTACAATGCTATACTGAAAAAAATCTTAATGGAAAATGCTTAAAAAACCACTTTGTCCCTGAAACTCTGAGAGTCTAACCCATGGCCTTTCGCAATTCGGGTCCAAAGTGCCAGGGACAAAGTGAAGCATGTTTCAAGAACAAGAAATTTATTTTATAGCGATAGTTATATTATAATAATGGCGTTGACCAAAGTATAGTGGACCGTAGTCGTGTGCCACTGATCATAACAAAACAAACTGTTGTGGCATACGACTACGCTGTCCCTTGGTCATCACCATTATAATATAGCTATCTCTATAAAATTATTTTCTTGTTTCAATCTTTTAGAGCGTGATTTAGCTGTGTTCGGGTTTAACTTATTTTGTTTATTTAATCAATATTTCGGGTGCATTCAAGCAAATACTCTCAATATATAATATTTTAGAACTGTGCTAATTAAGCCTTTTCATTTGATACCCTACACAGGATGATTGAATATATTTTTTTTATTTCTTACTTTATGCTCTCCAGAGGGCGCTGTTGCCAATTTATTGTAACGTCACATAACCTATAGCACGCGAAAAACTAAGACGCTTCTAAAAATACCTTATTTGTCCAGTCACGATGAGTAGGTTCCAAGTTATAAGTGAACAGATACAGGCCAAAATCATACCTCCCTTTTCACTTCGCCGTAATCAAGTAAAAAACAAAGAGACCTGAGATGTACTCGCGACGCTAACAACCCAGTTTACGAACGAAAGTTTTGAGTTTTTTTTTAAAGTAATATTCTACAAGAGAAATGACAAAAAATATCTTTGATCTGAAATGTTAATTGTGAAAACTTGAAAAGAATCGCGTTAAAAGTTTCAAAATGTCAAAACACGTGCAGTCAATAAGTTACGTCTGTCTATACGCGTCACACTAAAGTTCAACCTTCAGAGTACAAACAAGCGCATCGAATACTAACCATTGTTTTGGAGCAGTTGCGTAAACTCTACTAGGGCAGACGCCCGCCGTTGCTTAAATCATCCAAACAACCAAAAGGCATACTAATGTGTAAACGCGTGGAATAGCAATAACTTAATTTGATACGGGTTCGATTCTGAGTAACCACTGGTGTCATATTTTGTAATTTTTTCAGATTAACTTACTTACCTTTTGAAAGGGAGTTAAGCTAAAATATTGGTCATAATTATTTCAGAACTTTATTAAATCAAAACTGAAATACGTATGTTAAGCATTATTAACAAATAGTACACGTTAACAAAGAATTTTGTTTCAACTAGATTTTGAAAAACAAATATTTATTCATCAAATTATCAAATTCAGTGAACATATATAAGAAAGCATCCTTGAAACTCCTCCTTTTCGATTTTGAATTCGGTTAAAAAAAGGTTCCATCATCAAAAGAGTTCGTGAATTGTTAAGGATCTTAAACGTCAAAATTATAATATTTGTATAGGTTTTAGGTTTCAGTAGTGAACCATAGTAGTCAGTCAGTATATAGCCACGTGTTATGTACCACCCAAAGTCAAGAAAATAAAGTAATAGTTTATCCTTCGTCTTAGCTCATTTTATTAAAATAAAATTGTTACTTAAAATAAGACTTAAATAAGCACAACTTTTCACGATATATAATTTTAAGTTTCGAAGAGAATATTTTAAGCTACGTTTACAGTCAAACTAAAATAATGGCATTTTCAATAGTTTCCGGAAATCCTAGACACAAGTTAGTTATGGCAAAACAACTACGACTATTAATAAATAATAAAAGTTAGAGATGTACCAAATAGACTCTACTCGGGTACCTTCGCAAGGTTGAGGCGTGAAAACTGGGTTAAATAGGTGCGTTAAGGTGATTGTACGTGTCCAATTAGTTATGCTCAGTTTAAGCAAATACTCCACATTGGGACGGTGCATTTCGGTCAAATTACGTGTACGGCGGTAAGGTACTACGGTACGATTATACGGCGTATTGAATAACATACAATACTCAGCGTATTCGCTCTGTGTTGCAAAGATTGAACAATTTTTACAAGGGTTAGTAACGTATGGGTAGTTTGATGGCGTTCAGAAAAATACGTTTCATGTAATTCCTTCGGTTTCTTGCTTTGATAACAGCTTATCAAAGCAAGAAAACCGAACCGATTGATCTGATAACAGCTTAAAACCGATCATAATAATTATTCGTCAACGAAGGCTTTCACGCTTTTGATGAAATATATTTGAAATTGTTGAAGCTATAACCAGTATTGCCAGTGTTTTTGGTAAAAGTTTATACCTGCTCCATAAAAATTTATTATTGCTTAACTAAAACATAAATAAATCAAAATTCCAATCCACAAATACCCAATAACCAGATTTTGTAATATAAGTGTCGTATAAATTAGATCATACGCTTTTTGTAAGACCCTTTTTTGTACATAGTATTTGACATTGCATTCCTCAATCGATAATGTTTACAAAAAGCACCTTCGAGCTTACAAATCAAAGACCATTTTCGTGTAATTAGTTTCTTCTTCGAGGCCGCCTTGTTATAATTATAAAGTGATTACTTATTACGATTGCATAAGGTATGTTATGTTACATAGATTTAGGCGTATACGAGACCAAATAAACATGCAAACCGAATGTATAGGAAAATTTGATCGACTATTTGGTCGGGGACGTGAAAATGTCATCCTGGGAGCACGAGGTATGTGTCTTCCGGCATTGTATCTGCTGCTGTGGGGGTGGCACATCGTCATCCTTACGAGGATGGGTACCGCACCTCCACTGGCGCGAGCGGCCAAGGCTGCGCCATAAGTGGTTCTATCTAGGCGGTACCCCGAGAGGTAACAGAACCTATATGCAGGGGGCATGAGAATAATGCGAGGGTGCCTGTGGCCTAGGGATAAGTCCAAGGAAGCCTGGACAGTACAGATGGCTCTGCTTGTGCAGATGGAAGAGTGATAGAACCGCATGTTCTGGGTTGACACCCCAGTCATGGCCACTTAACGTACTAACAACAAATGACATTTAAAATTATGTTTAAAGCCTGCCATATTTTTTTCTCTTAAAAAACTGCTTTAAAAGAAAAAATATCGCAGCTGTTTCATTTACTTAATTAAAGTCAAATTATTTCCCATTTCAAAAAAGAGGCAATAATGAGGGATTCCATATGGATACACTACTTATTTTCCAATACACGGAATGAATAAATTATAACTGTTTGCAATTAACTTCATGATTTTTTGACCTACACGCGTTCTTGTTTCCGTAAATCAGAATGACCTCAGGTTCAATGCAATAATTTCTTTCCTTCCTTTTCGCACACAAATATGTGATTTATATTTTATAATTATTGTAATTACATAAATAGCCGGAACACATTTTTAAAACGTGACCATACAAAACACGAAATTTACAATGCAAGAATGAGTAGGAATCGGTTGTTTACATATCGCACACCTAGATCTAAACTGAGACAACTCAAAAATTTGAGTGAGTTTTGACTTAGTACAATATTCAAATACTCGGTGATCATACGCATCTATCCAACATAACAGATTCAATAAAGGTTCGGGGATGAGCCGCTAGATAACTTTAGCTTTCTTTTGTTGAATCAACAGTGGTCGCGCTCCTGCCACGTAAACAATGTATTGTAAGACCTCCACATTAGTTTTTTGAGTTGTCTTAGTTTAGACTTAGGTGTGCGATATATTTAATGTGATTTTGGTCATAAATAATAAGGTAAGGGTACAAAAAAAGTTGAGAGAGAAAGATTAGGCTTATATGATTGTTTCTTTGCATCGAATAACCATACTGGAAAGATTTTAAAAATCTTGCACATATGGAGAAACTACAGCATACGGTGACATAGGCCAATTACGCGGTGAAGTCGCGGGAGAACAGTTAGTATACCATAACTGTTTACAGAATAAAATACGAACTTTGTAAAAAAAAAAGTATTTAGACTCACATCTAATAAGCGATAACGATATATGTAGACTTTTTAAGCTCCACTGATATCAATGTACCAAAACTATTCTCAAGAACTACGCATTGTCATCATTGTATTAAATACAATTTCAATTTGCAATTCATTATTTAAGCTTATCCTTTACAATACCCGTCATCTGCATAGCAAGTATGCTAATGGTGTTATGTCGTTCGGTAAATTATCTCAAGACCTCACGGAATGTTGTTAGATACGCCTATGCGCAGCCCGAGCGCCGAAGAAAGGTCATTTTTTTCATTCACCGTCCTTAGCATAGTCGCATGTATTATTTACAAATCTGTATGTAGTTGGAAAAATATTTCTTGTACTTTCTATATAGCGACGTCAAGTAATCATAATAACCTATTTAGGATAATAATATCTAAATCAACTTAAGCAGAACTTCAGCAGAGTCATCCTGTTGAAAGTTACCTTTTACTCGTCGACGAATGCACCGCTGTTACAGTAAAATAATTTAATCAAATAAAACCTACTTCAAAAGGTAATAAAAGTTGTATTTATTTAAAGTACTTTCAAATTTATTTCTAATTACTAATTGAATGTTTTTACGATTGGTCAATTAGTTTGTTTCAATTACTGAATCGTTATAACAATGTCAGTTAACTTTTCTGTGGCTATATCTGTAAGAATGTTATTTGTTTATACTTATAACTTTAACACAGAGCGGCCTTCTGTAAATGCATTATTTCTTGTTGAAAGGTTTCTTTATGTTTTGCAACCAAATTGTTTTTGATATCGGCACAACAAATCTACTCCAATTGAGATTCGATTCCATTATAATAACATAGATGTTATCACACGGTACCGTTCACAATATAATATTTATAAAAAAAAGCTTTATGGTTTCGAGCTTTTCATACATTTTAAACTTATGATTCTCTTAATTCATGACGACATATATTTGTAGCAGCCACTAAATGTGAATATAGTCCAAAGTTTCTTCTATATTCTTGAGACTAGGGGCTACAGAATATCGAACGTAATAAATTCGTTTAATTCAAATTTAAAGTTCAAGTATCTATTTAAATTGTTGATGTTTAGGGAATAAGAGTGAACCTGTCTTGGGGCAGCTTGTGATATTTTTATGATGAACTAACCTCTGTTACATACCTATCCGTCTGAACTTAGAGAATTAAATAAACCGTCTGAAGTTTGGCATACATTTTAGAGATGTAGTAAGTAGCAAACGAGCATGGAACTGTAGTTTAAAATCATATTTTATAACTCTAAACAAGTAAATTAAAATGTGTCAATGTTAAATAAGCGTTAAATAATAATTAACAAGAGTAATTAGCATACTCTAGTGTTTTCTTTCAATACAAATGTTACTAAAGTATACAAAAGGAACTCCTTTGTTCTCCTAGAGTCGGTCGCTCCGATATATATAATTATAAATAATCGCGGCAATGACGCACTTATATGAAACCCTAGAAGTTTCTGTTAGTTTTTGTTCTTTACGCATAAATTGTGGTTTGTCAAGGCTGTCAGGACATTCACTGGGCAGTGGCTGAGTGTTTGATTACACACTCAGCCACTGCCCAGTGAATGTCCTGACATTCTAGGAAATGTTACATTTGGCTTGATTCCTCATTAAGATTTCTAGCGAAGAGTAATGTTTTTAATTTTGGGAATAGAAGCTATTTAATTACCTAGAAAAAGAGAAGGGAAAGATATTATTTTCTTCTTTTTATATTATTCTCAAGTCTTCTTCTTAGGATTATGTTAAGTGTATATAAATTAAATTATCACAGACTGTTATCAGCAATATTTGAAACAAAGACCCTATTTTTTATTTCTCTTAGAACGTTACAGAAAATATAATCAATTTTGAGAATTTATAAACGAATAAGTTGTAGTAACTTATATTAAAAATGACTTCTAATTGACACAAAGTTTCAATTACTAACCATTCCATCCTGTGACGTATTGTTTTGTGATGGTTTATAATGTACTGGACGGTGTTGTTAAACTTGAACTGGATTTCGAAAGTAACATGTGCTGGTCACACGCGTGGTTGTTAGTGAAACAGGTTTCAGTGCGCTGGCGCAAGATCAAGGTCTTTTACAATAATATATTATTGAATTTAAAATGTGTCAAATATATATCAATGTCTTTTTATGTTAAAAAATATGCAGATTTATATAAAGAAGCTTAAAAATCATACAAAATTACACGGCAAGGGATTCTGTGTGAAGATATTTACCACTACAAAATATTACCCTTATGTATATACTTTAGAGTGAAAAATCACGAAGTTAAATTAAACGTGCTTTAACAGTTTTCTTTTCAAATAAAACATTATTGTTTCCAGACGCTTCTGTTCAGCGCCGCATGGCTGCTGGTTTCCTGTCAGAACTACAACGGGCCCACGACCACACCAGTTCCTATCCTGAAGCAAATCAACAGACAGAACGACGACGGATCCTACAGCTACGGATACGAGGCCGCCGATGGATCCTTTAAGATCGAGACTAAGTATCCGAACGGTGATGTCGCCGGAAAATACGGATATATTGACGAGAATGGGAAGACTAGGGAGATATCATATGGAGCCAGCAAGCAACGAGGCTTTGAACCTCAAGGTAGGTGCTATTTTTCAACTAACATCATCCTTAAATATGTTCTTAGTCAGGCGAAAACCAGATATTGACCTAAAGTATTATGAAAGCGTTGATAGTATACGATACGTATCATTATCCATAGAAATCTGTATCGTTCCTGCGAAGTACCGCACTTTATTATAGGAGACGCTATAGGTGTCTGACACCATAGATAGAATAGTAGTTCTTAATCACTTTGTTATTTGGGTCAAATTTTATTTAAATGCTTCCATCATATTTTGAAGAAAAAACAAAGTCGAAACTTGTGAAAAGGGAGGTATATTTGTTACGATATTTTAGCGTATCATCAGTGACTTTATAAAAAGTAAGGATGAATCGGTCATAACCTTAGTATAGTTTCTACACAAGTGACGAAAGTGACGAGATCTCGTTCTGTTTCACTAGCATGACATTAAACGAAAACGATAAACGACCCAGATTATTTATTGACGAAGCAAGTTTGATCTGTTTGATGTTTCAAATATCAGGCATTTCGTAAAAACATGTAGATAATTTAGCAATTACTCTGCAATGAAATGTTACTGAATAACCGTACAAACCGGTTAAGTGAAAAAAAATGTTTTAATGCCGAGTAATGTGATTTGTTTATTAATGTAATTAATGTCACATTTAATTGCCATTAAAATATTATGGACGGCAAGACGATAAAAGCAGACTGTCAAACACCAAGAAGGCAACACCGAAAGCAAGATGTGCTACGCCAATAGCGACTACGATGACGCGTTGATGTCTTTAACATCGTAGTGACGCGTCAAGTTTAGATACAACTTAAGTATTAAATGTCTGTGATTTATCGAATACATTGATTTATAAACACTTTGTTTGTTGTATTTATCAGTGATCTCATGGAGCGTTTTACGTATCCTAATGTTGATAACCTCAAAATTTTTAAAATTAGCGACAATGAGCGTGATATCATGGAGCAACAACAGAATCTTAACATCCTAGTTCAATGGTGCACTGATAATTGCTTTGTGATATCATTCACAAATAATATCTACAAGATGAAGCATGATTGTGCTCTATGTGGCCAGGTTCTTCGTAGGAGGGCGTGGTCTTTGATCCAATTTTATCTTTTCTTGTCATTATGACTATATTATGGCTCGAAGCAATCGTATGTTGGGACTTATTTCACGTAGTACTAAGGAATTCAGGAGACCCACTAGTTTATTCATCTGTACAAAGTACTGGTTAGGAGTTTGTTATATATTGCAGCGTGGTATGGACCCCTTTTTCCAAAGTACATTTTGATAATATTGAAAGTGTGCAGAATAAATTATTTAGAATTCCATGTTACCGTTATGGATACCATAGTTAATATATTATTAGAATATACATTTCCATTTAAGTTGGTTAACTCTATAGTACACTCTCCGTATTTGCTTTCTCGTTTACTGTTTTATATTCGATTTAAGTCCCGTATTCCGAAGCCTTTTATTCTCCAAGTTTGTACTAATAATATTATATAGAGGAACCATATCCAAGTTTATTTAATTATTTAAATGTATGTCTGTAATTTGTTTAATGTGCCAATAAATAAATAAACTAAGATATGGTTCGTCTATATAATACACGCTTTTATAACTATACAAAGAAAAGTTCTTCATTTAGCATTTTAGTAACAACCGTTCGTGTATTTTGTAAATTATTAATTATACTATTAATTATTAAATTGTATTTCGCTAAATATTTAATATTAAACATAATAAACAAAAAAGGCTATATTCAGAGCAAAAAAACAGCAATAACATTGAATTAATACTTTTAATTATAATAGGAAAATTGACCTTATTGGAGTAGTGGAATTGGTGGAGTGTTAAATTATTTATAATTTCAAAAACTTACCAAACTGCACGTACATACTAATATGAAAATATCAATGAAATATATTAAATTAATAATTGAGCTATTAAAATGTATATAGCAAGAGCGTGAATTGTTTCGCAACAAATAAAGGCCTTCATGCTCTAATAAAAAATAGTTAAGTGCTAGTAATATTATATCAAGTACATTGAACTTGGTTACTCAGAACATGCAAGATTCGTGGAATAAAAGTTTCTCACTTTTCTAAGCTTGTTTTATGAATTATTATTTTAATGTTTATTTTACTTTCGTGGTAGTTTATTTTGTTTTGTGTCCTGAACTCAAATCTTTAGTAGGATAAACAAGTAGAACTAAGTACCTCAAGGCACTGCCGTCTATTGCTTATTTGATATTTCTTTATTTATAATTTGTGTAGTCTGAAATCAATTTAAGATGTATCGTATGTTTAATCGTGCTCTGTTCTACTCAGATACATGAAAAATACGTAAATTAGAGTAAGACAGACACCGAAACAGTCGAATATGTTTTAAAAACATAGGTCCTAAGTCTTTCACAGAAAACCATAATTTCCCATTGGTGTTCAAATTAAATGGCTGTGTTTAATTTGCTCTGATGTACTTTACATGTAGTTCTAAAATTTAAAGAAATAAATAATTTTTTATTGTTATTACTAATATAATAATTTTTTGTATGATAAATAATCTCTTTTAGAAAACACATTTTTACAGTACTTATTTATTTTAATGTCTCTTATTCACACTTAAACTTCAATTGGAAATTTTATTTTACAGGAACTGGCATCATGGTACCACCACCGACTCTTAATGAAAACCCAACTAATGCTCTCACCGACGGCCAAGAAGACGACGGTCAGTACCGCGAAGACCCAAGAATCTACGAAGATCCGAAATACAACGGGAAAACCCAAGCTAGACCGGCAGCCTTCCGCCAGTTCCACCAGCCTGCCAGACCAGCGCCAGAACCTCAATACCAGCAAGCAGCATATCAACAACCCGCACCACAACCAGCACCTCAACCCACCAGATCCTCCCTCTACTCCCAAACGAACCTCTTCAACCAATCCCCGCAAACTTTCCCTCAGCAGTTCCAAGATTTCAGACCGCAAAGCCAAATATACCATCAGCAACCTCAATTCTCTTACCAAGCCTACACTCAGCCTCCACAACCACAACCTTTTAACCAATACCAAAACTACCAACAACAAAATTATCAACAACAAAACTATCAACCACAAAATTACAATCCGTTCTTGGGTCACCCCGCACAAAACATTGACCCTAACACCGGTTCCTACACGATTAATTTCACTGGAAAATAGTGAAATTGTATAAATAGGTGTTTGTATTATTATTTCCAAAGCGATCGAACGATTTTAACGATACTTTTTTTTTATTGTAAATAACTATTTTATTAGAGCTAGTCAATATTGTATTTGTTAAGGGATGTAAAGTATTCAGGAGATTAGCTTTAAACGTTTTTCTTATATTTATTAAATGAAACAGTTTAAAGTATTTGTAAATACAATATATATTCATTCATGTATCAAGAAACTAAAATATCTATATGTGTATAACAGGTGTATTGCATTTATATGTTAATTTTATTAATTTTGTATTTTATAACTATATTTATTTATATACGACTGCATATAGTTTTTTTTTATCGACGTATGTGTATTAAAATCAGTCCCATTATGAGTGTATCTATTATTGATGTTTATGATATTTCTAAAATTATACGAATATACAAATACTTACTACAAAAAATATATAAACACTTGTATATAATTTCATTTTGTAACGAATAACTTAATATTTTGTAGTGCCAATATATGCATAATTATCAGTACAATTATTATACAACATTTACACGATTGGACTTGCGTTACCCATTGCAAAATGGCGACAATCGAACTTATATACGTGTCCAGATTGTAAATAGCTATTAAACAACACGTTATATAAAAGAATGACTTGTTTTATTTCCTGGTGAAAGTTTTTTGAATGATTAGGAAATTGTGCGAACCCCATCATCGCGCAGTGGTGAATATGGAACGGATGAATATGTTTTGTAAAACTTTATTATTAAAATCGTTAGGTATATAATTAATGATAAATTATATACATGTCCAGACATTTTCTCGGTTTGCTGAAACTGCTAAATATAAATTCTTTTGTGTATAAAAAAGTTGTTGAGCCTTCGGCATTCACAGCGCCTTTTCACATTGATCCTATAATTTTTCTGTCTATCTGGTACAAACAAACAAAATTCTAAAATATCTTATCATGAATCTATAACGTCACACAAATTGTTCAGGAACCAAATGAAAAATATATAATAAATCACTAAATAAAAAACTAATAAATCATTTGTATTGTGGAAATCTGAAACAACTAAGCTATCACAAAATATAGATTAGATTAGCATTGATCCTACCGGGAATCGAACTTGAGACTTCGATTCCCGGACCTTAATCAAGATGGCGATACTTTGAAACCGGCGTACGAACAACAAGGCTACGTAAGTTGTAGGAGATAGCAAATAGTCGTGGTAGCACAGAAATATTGAGTGAATATTAATAATTAAGATCTTCGTACTATTTGAGAGGACTTCAGCGAGGATATGAAATCACTGAGGACTTCTATTTTCTACAATGTAAGGGACAGGTAACCAACGCAGATGGAATGACGTAATAGTACTTACTAACTGAAATCAGATTAAGGGCAGAATAAAGTATTTAGTTGTTAACAATAATAAGGATGTGGGAATCCTTATATTTGTGTCCTTAAATATCATAAAGCAAAGTTTCTCTGCCACACCTGCCTGAACGCAATAAATTTCAAAATTATCGACCGAATTTTCATGTAGTTTTTATCTAAGGCAGACTGCTCTACGATTCTGTAAAATCAAACCCGAATTCGTATGCACTCAGGTATCAGAATTCACTTCGAAAAGCGGCATCATCAATCTTAAATAGGTAATAACGTTTCATGGTATAAGTGACGTGAGTTTCGAAATGACATAGGAATAGAACATGGGACACTTACAATCAATCAATTTTGTTTTGTATTATTATACAAAAAATGGAATCAATAGAACTTCTTCCCTAAATAACGTTAATTCGGACATATGAGTGAATTCGAATTCGGGTTCGGATTTATACAGAATTGTTCTGTAAAAATCCGTTGTTTTTAAAATGATTCACAGCGTTTGTTCTTAAAGAAGTTGATTGAGTTTAACACAATGTAAGTTGCACCAGTGCTCCGATAATGTCATAATTGCAAATCCTACCAGCATATGTTGAGCTCCGCCAGCTTTAAGGTAAGAGTTATTCATTTCAAATATGAAATGACCATTACGATAGGTAAGTACTATTAATTTTTAGAAGTGACTATCGATTTTTTATATAATATAAAATATTTACTGTAAAAAAATTATATATGTGCAAATAACTCACATTTTGTTAGCTTGGATAAAGTTAAGAGATTTCATAGAAATTGTACATTGATTTTAAAGCTTTCTTTATCTCTCTTCGCTATCTGTAATCCTCAATACCTCTAGGGCCTATATTAAAAGGTGTTCTTACAATTATATAGCGGAAGTCACGTGGGTTGCTTTTATATCCGCTTCAATGCAGACAACCTTGAGACCGCTCCCTGAGTGTCATACAAGAACGAACCAAGCGTTTATTGTTGGCCAATTTTCGGGTAATCAATTGATTAAATGAATGCTATAAGTGTGGATCACGTTATTTTCGAATCATGTAATAAAATTATAGGTGATAATCGCAGCAAAGTAATTGTAAACGACAAAATATTTCCATATGTGTTTATTGTTATTTAGGACACCTTCCTAATATATGAGAACTGAAATGTCTCACTCATCTCATATACTTTAACTTTTTGCAAAATAGTAATTTGATATAATAGTCTCAATGGAAAATGCTTGAAAAATTCACTTTATCCCTGGTACTAAGAGATCGACAAAGTGTTTTTTTTTAAACATTTGATCAATATAGCATTGTGCAAGCAAATTGATCAAATATAATAAAATCTATATATATGATATAAATTCTGATGTCAGTTTAAGTAATTCCTTTTTAATAATGCATATTATACCGTATTCAAAGGAACTGTTTTCCAAAGGCACATTTCATTTTAAAGAAAAATGCTTAAAAGTTCACCAGTCCCAGGTACCCAAGATGGGAGCCGAACCCATAGCACCCGAACCTTTAGCAATCCGCAACTGCTCTAACAATGACTAAAGAGATTGATAAATTTTGTCAACAGTTATTACTTTCTTACTACTACTGTTACTACTAGTAAGCGTATTCTAATCAATACTTAGACAATAGGGATGACGACTAATTTTTGTTTGTTTGTCCGTCAGTTAGAGTGTTAAAAATGTTAAACACGTATTTTTTTATTTTTTTCGTAATCATAAAATTACGGCGATACATGGAGTTGAAATTTCGCATGACGTCACGTTATGGTACGTTTTCTACTAAACTGTGACGTAGCGAGCCCCCACTCCTCAACTTTAATGCCTGTTATCTAAGCTATTTCTTGTTAAATTGAAGTAAAATAAATACGTATCTAGTATTATTCTATTATCTAACTGACGGACTAAATAGAATTACATTTTTTTTTCCAGTCGTCATTCCTATTCACCTAAAAATCCCATGTCGTGCCCGATATGGTATTGGTAGTGATTTTAATCATTTTTTTAATGATAAATTGAATATATTATTGTACTCAAATATACCTGATACATTTTAAATAATAGAATAAAATAGATATAGATTTCATACAAAGGTTACTTTTTCCTTTGATGTTATCAATGGTTAATTGTGACAACCTAACCTAACAAGCAGAATTATCGAATGCACAATTGCACATCAAATTATGAATGGTTATACGAATGAAGGTTACAAGTATGTAAGTAAATTTTGCATATTTTAATATTTATCTTCCAATAAATTTCTGTTTAATTATTCATCATCATCATCATTATCAGCCCTCTGACGTTCCCACTGTAGGGGCTCAGGCCTTCCTTGTGGATGGTTAAGGAGGATGGGCCATGACCCTCCACGCTAGCCCAATGCGGATTGGAGGGTATTAACGACTGGAAATGCAGCCGGGACCAACGGCTTAACGTGCCTTCCGAAGCACGGAGTAGCTCGAAATAATATTTTTTTGGTCATGCCTCACTGTTATATAAACCGTACCTATTCCACAGTTGAAATGGCAATGCGATAAGGACTGATATTGATATAATTCAATTTGTCATGTCTTCTTAAATTTTCGCCTTGTGTCATTTATGAATACACCCACGTATTCGGATGAAACATTAACACCGGCATCTAAAATTATTATGATTCTATTTACTCGCAATAACTTATAATAACCACAACGATGTTTTTGACAACGTTGTTGATTTGTAATGAAATCTAAATCAATATTTAAAACAGGAAAGATTTGTTTGTTTGTTTTCATCGAATAGGCTACAAAGCTACAGGACCAATTTCGAAAATTCTTTTACCTACGGGAAGCTCCATCATACGCGGGTGAAATAGGCTATAATTTACGCGGACAAAATACCAGGGAAAATAGTTAGCCACTTTATAGTCAGAGATCTTCAACATATCTTTACCTCACCAGTGTGTGTTGCCAGTGATGACCTATGGCTCTGAAACGTGGTCCTTAACTGCTGGCCTCTTAGAGAAGCTCAGAGTCGCTCAGCGAGGCATGGAGAGAGCTATGTTAGGGGTTTCTTTGCGCGATAGGATCCGAAACGTGGATATTCGCCAAAGAACTAGTGACCGACATAGATCGCAAAGTTTGTAAGCTGAAGTGGCAGTGGGCAGGCCACATCGCTCGACGAACCGATAACCGATGGGGACGAAAGGTTCTCGAGTGGAGACCACGAACCGGAAGACGCAGCGTGGGTCGATCCCCGACTAGATGGACGGATGACATCGTCCGAGTCGCGGGCGGCCGCTGGATGCAGCTGGCGCAATGTCGTCCGTCGTGGCGTTCAAAGGGGGAGGCCTATGTTCAGCAGTGGACGTCTTCCGGCTGATGATGATGATGATGATCTTTAGTTAATTTTTTATTGTTTATTAAAAATAAATAAAAGAAAAGCAACAGTGCTATTTGCTATAAAAACCTCCTCGAATTCAACGTCGAACGAAGTGCTATGACAGCAAAGGGGTTTAATCAAATAAAGCCTACTTCAAAAGGTAACAAAAATTGAAGTTTTACTACATAGAACCTCTATGCTGTCACAGCACAATTTTTAAAAGTAGAGCATAGCAGATCGTATTGTTATTTATTTAGGGTCTTTTTAAATGCTAAGTTTATTATATTTCGGATCATATGTATATAAAATTAAGTTTTTCTTGAACCATATGTATAATGTAGAAGGTGGTGTTCTGTAGAACAGGATTATCCTTGTGTTGGTCACCAGTCTCCGTCCTTGAATAGATGCAGAGAAAATAAATAAACGTTATTTTTATTATAATCAACTCTTAGATAATATTTATATGTTATACAAATATAATGAGTTTTTGCGAAAAATTTAAACAACCAAGTTTATATGTAATTATATAAGTACCACTCGTTATTCCTTCTCTTTACTCCTGCCTCTCTCTTACGGTTTCATTCAGTCAAACTCGAATGACAAATTGACAATGTCATTATCAACACAAAGCTTACATGTTTAGAAGATATACATTCAGATCTTTCATTAATTTCATTGTCAATTTACATATAGAAATTAATTTAACTAATTTAATCAGTTGACAATAGCAAAATTGTGGGAAAAGCGCAGAAGAGTCATTTATGAAGACATACATTCAGTTGCACACGTCGATCGACACGACGACGTCCATTACCGATACCAATTTTTAAATTTGGTACATTCATTAGAGTTTAAAGCTATCATTAAATCTTAATAGATGT